ACTCTAACATGGAGATCATAAATAGGAATAAATAAATAAAATTTAAAAACTAAAAGTAATAATTCTAGTAAGAAAAAATTTAGACCGTTAGTTTACTTTGTATTTAGACGGAACACCTACTTGCATCCATCTTTAAGATGGATGTTTAACACTTTCTGAACCGCATATGTAGAAATGTTGTTTAGCCCCCATGAAACACGTTGCCTTTTAGAAATTCACTAGAAAAAATTGTTTTGATACCCACCTCATCAATCATATTGACTCATGATGTATGGACATGAAAAAAATAAATTTCAAATCTTGTGAATAATGCATCTTGTAGTACATTTTTTTTTTTTGAACAAAAATTATTTGGTGAGGAGAGGTTGGAGTTTTAGCCACGAGGACTATTATTTTTTAGACCGTCAATGTTAATAAAATTTCTAAGTGCCCGTGGATATGCTTGATGTATATTATTTTTGAATCTTTAAATTTTATAGTTAGAGATGAAAATAAATTTTCGGACTATCAGAAAAAAAAATTTTTTTACTGAAGACAACATCTTTCGATACTATTTGCACCAGTGTCATAAAAAACGGCGAGTCGAACCGGACTCGCTCGATTCGACTCGGAAACGTGCGAGCCCGTGCCGGTTCCAACTGAAAATCGGGATTCGCCCGGTTCTATAGTGGAACAGCCGGTTCCCATCCGGTTTAGCCCGGTTCTAGAGTGGAACTGCCGATTCCCATCCGGTTCAGCCCGGTTCACACACGTAACACATGACACGTACGTGCGAGCGTGCCCCACGCACACTCACAGCGCACACGTGTGTCCTAACGCACGTGCGAACGTGCCCTACGTACACTCACACGTGCACACGTGTGTCGGAGTGCACGTGCGAGCATGCCCCACGCACACTCACACGCTCACACGTGTGTCCGAGCGCACGTGCGAGCGTACCCCATGCACACTCACACGTGCACACGTGTGTCCAAACGCACATGCGAGGTTGCCCTAATATTTTTATACATATTTTATAA